GCAGTCGCAGGTGACTATCTGCAGTCGGAGGTGACTATCTGCAGTCGCAGGTTGTCTATCTGCGCAGATCTGCGCTCCTACCAAGTAGGTCCAGGCTGACGGTTTCTCCGTCAGACACATTGCGCAGGTGCCAGGTAAAAAGCGTGTCTTTGGTTTCGCCAGGTGCGCACCGTCAACCACGTGATGCCGTTCCGCAGGTAGAACTCCGCCAAAATCTCCTGGGCAAAAGTTTGCATGCCTCCGCAGAGTTTCGCACAACTCTGCAACTTCGGTTGAAGGACTCGCCATCGCTCGGTCAAACAGAGTTTGCCGAGCAGAGCTCCTCGACCAGGATTCTTCGACCAGAGTTCTTTGACCCGAACTCCTCGACCAGAGTTCTTCAACGAAAGTTCGTCGCGCAGAGAACGTCGATCAGAGCTCGTCGCGCAGAGCTCGTCGACCAGATTCCGTCGAGCAGAGCTTGCTCCACCGCAACTTCCGTCAAACTGCAGAAGCCTACTTCTTCGACCAATCCGTCGAGAACTTCCCGTCGACGGCGAGATCGGCTGCGCCCAAGCGAGGGCAGGGCCTGTCTCTTCGACAAAAGTAACAAGAGAAATGAGGGGGATGGATAAGACATAAGCAATTTTTGAGGCGCCTTAGATAAATTTCCATCACAAGCTGCTTCCCAGGTAGGTGTCTGATGCACATACAGATCAACAGCAGCAAGTTTTGCAAGTAGCAGGAGAGAAAAGGGGAACGGATAAGGCAAAAGGAGGTCATGGAATTGTCAGAGCAAGAAAGGTGACTGACTGACATGTTGTTACCCTATATGGCCCTGGTGTAAGTTGTGCTAGTGTCAGGGGGGGAAACGGAGACGACTCAGAGTGGATATGAGAAAGGCTTTTGGCGAGACTGCGGTTTGTGTAGACGGAGACACGTACGCGCCTCTCGCCACCTTTATTGCTGAGTCGGGCTCTAGTCTCTACACACTTCACACTGGCCCCCGAGGGTATTAGCAGCAGCAGCTGCAGCTACTGCCCCCAACCCCTGTCACTGCCCCCCGTCAGGTTCCCGCGTCCCACCAGGTTGCCGCGTCTCCCCAGGTAGCTGTGTCTGGTCAGGTTCCGAAGTCTGGTCCAGTTGTTGTGTCGTGCTCCTGCCGGTCACTTGCCCACCCCACTGTTTTGTGGCACCACCGGATGGGGCACCCGTCCATTTCTCGCTTGCACGCCATGTCTAGTCAGCGTCTTGTGTTAGGCCTCCCGCGAGTCTTGCCGTCGCTGCCGCCTTCGCTTGCACCACCTTACGGTACTTGCGTCGAGGGTCGGCTGCGCGCCACCCCTCAATCCTCCTCCCTTCGTCTGGCCACCGAGCCCTTTGAGACTCTCCACTTGGATGTCTGGGGCCCCGCCTCGCGCCCTGGCCCTGAGCTTTTTGAGATTCTTTCTTGTGATCGTTGACGAGTACTCCCGCTACACCACAGTGCTCCCCTTGGCGAAGAAGTCCGACGTGACTTCTATGCTGACCTGGTGGTTACTTACCACTGCGGACACTCGTGGTCGTCATGCCAAATGTCTTCACTCCGACCGCGGGAGTGAGTTTCACTCAGGCGTTCTCGCTGGATTCTGTCGGGAGTAGGGCATCCGTCAGTCTTGGACGCTTCCAGAGTCCCCATAGCAGAATGGGGTTGCTGAGCGCCGCATAGGCTTGGTCATGGAGATCGCCCGCACCTCCATGACTCATGCCCGTGCCCCCCATTTTTTGTGGCCCTACGCGGTTCGGTACGCCGCTCACCAGCTGAACCTCTGGCCACGTGTCTCTCGGTCAAAGGTTTCACTGACCGGTCTTTGGACCAGGTCCCCTGGTGTTGCGTCACGTTTTTGTGTCTGGGATTGCTTGGCACTTGTTCGCGACACCTCCGCGGACAAGATCTCGCCTCGCGTTGTTCCTTGCGTTTTCCTTGGTTTCCCTGCTGACTCCTCTGACTACACATTTTACCACCCTCCCCTTCACCGGTTCTTTGACTTTCGTGACGCCCGTTTCGACGAGTCCGTCCCCTACTACGTCAGATATCCCTGTCGAGGTGTCCCGGTTCCTCCTCCCCCTCTCTTCCGGACTTCAGCTCCCCCTCCTGCTCCCCCGGTACAGCCTCCCCCCCCTGGTCCCGCCCCGTCAGGTGTGTCCCACGCTACCCCTCCCCCTTCGGTAGCCCCTCAGGTGCAGCCTCCTTCCCCGCAGTCCTCCTCCTAGCCTACGGCAGACCCTGCAGGAGCCGGTTTTCGTAGCGAGGACCCTGGAGGTGCTAGCTCTAGAGGTGCTGGAGTTGGAGCAGAGAGCGTACCTGTGTGAGGTCTTGGTTCTGGGGGTGCTGGAGCTGGAGCTGAGCCCATGAGTGCAGGAGACTCTAGTCTTTGGGGAGCTGGTGTTAGTGGAGCTGTCCGTGAGGGTGCTACGACTGGAGGTGCACCCTCTGCTGGACCTGGAGAGCCTGGGACGGCCACTGTTACTTCTGGTGGTGCTGGCTCTAGGGGTGTTGTGGCTGATTCTTTGGAGAGCGGTCCTGGGGCTACCACCGCTTCGGACACTACTCCTCCCCCCCACCCCTACCCGACCCGGCACCAGGCCCGTGTTCGCCGTGCCCATGAGGAGCAGCTGGAGTTGGAGCGAGAGGAGAGAGAGCTGGAGCTACAGCAGTTGGAGCTACAGCAGCTGTAGGAGCAGCAGCGGTAGCAGCAGCCGGAGAAGGAGCAGCCGCAGCAGCAGCCGCCGCAGCTGGAGGAGCAGCAGTCGCAGCCGTAGTAGCAGCAGCACGAGCCGCCACCTCCTCCTCCTGTCTCTGGTCTTCGGACCCTCGGTCTCACCTCTCCCTCTCCTCCCTCCTCCCCCTCTCCTCCCGTCTCTGGTCTTCCGCTTCCTCCTCCCAACCCCTCCCCAACTGTTTTCCCTCCTCTACCTCTGTTTTCCCCTCCTCTTTCTCACACTTGGCCTTTGCATCGCTCTCCTCGTGCTCGTCCCTCGCCCCCTGTTCCCTTCTCTGACCTTCGTACTGCCCTATTTCGTTCTAGTCCGCCTCGTTCGTCTCTTTCTGTACTTCTCCTCCTGAGTCGGCTCTCACTGCTTCCCTCTCTACTCCTGTCACGGACTACTACCGCACGTACCGTCCTGTTCTCTCTCATGTTCTTGCCTCTCTTGTTAACGACCCACGTCCTTCTCTGTCCTCTGTCTCCGCTCTTACTACCGCAGTCACCCCGTTTGCCTCTACTTGCCACCTTGACTACGCCACCAGTCTTGTGGGTGCTCCTCCTACCAGTCCTCTGGCCATTGGGGGTGAGTCTGATCTTGGCTGTGACGCCCTAGAAGACAGCCACTTTGAGCTAGAGTTCCTGGCAGCCGCTTCCCCTCATCTCTGTGCCATGCTGCTCGCCCCTGAGGGAGACCCCGACGCCCTTGACGTACGGACTCCTCGCACTTACGCTGAGGCAGTGTTAGGGCCTTGGGCTTCTCAGTGGAGAGCTGCCATGGACTCAGAGATGGCCTCCTACAGATGCACAGGCACTTACGTCGACGAGGTCCCCCCCCTGGGGCGAACGTAGTCAATGTTATGTGGATCTTCAGGGTGAAGCGACCACCGGGATCTCCTCCGGTCTTCAAGGCGCGCTATGTGGCTAGAGGTTTCAGTCAGCGCGAGGGAGTTGACTTCTTTCAGACCTTCGCACCGACCCTGAAGATGACCAGTCTTTGGGTGTTACTGCATGTAGCAGCACAGAGAGACTACGAGTTACACTCTCTCGACTTCTCTACTGCTTTCCTTCAGGGTAGCTTATACGAGGAGGTCTGGCCGTGTCTTCCCTCTGCCTTCACTAGCACCTTCCTTCCTGGGTGTTGGAGTAATTTAGAGCTCGCTCTGGCATTTATCATGGTGTTCTTTTGTCATTTCGCCATGTCTAGAGCGAGATGCACTTTCGGTTCGGTTTAGGTTCATTTCTTAGTTTCCAGCGCAAACTGAACACACCCTAAGTTCATTTAGGGTTTCCTACATTTGTATCTCGACATTCTTGCTAGTCTACTACTTCAACTATCCTCTCTAGCCATGGCTCCAAGTACTCTCTTAACACTGGGTCCCAGTGGAGGCTAAGGCGGCCGGTCTACGGTCTCCGTCAGGTTGCACCACTACCTTGGCCTGCAGATCACCAGGGACAGAGCCGCTCGCACCATTACACTCTCACAATCACACATGGTGCAGTAGGTCCTTCAGCGGTTCGAGCTTCAGCGGTTCGAGCTTCAGCACTCCAAAGTACAGCGCACACATCTTGTTGTTGACCACAGACTCACTGGACCCTTCCCTGACGAGGCGTTTGAGCCTAGTGGTGCTTACGCAGAGCTTGTGGGTTGCCTCATGTACCTGATGACTTGTACTCGCCCGAACCACGCCTTCCCTCTCAGCATCCTTGCTCGCTATGTGGCGCAAGGGAGACACCGTCCAAGTCACTGGACAGCTGCTGTGAGGGTGGCGAAGTACCTAGTGACGACATCAGGCGTCGGGCTGGTTCTTTAAGGGCAGCAGTCTGTTGTACTTACTGGACATTGTGACTCTTCTTACACTGACGACGTAGAGACCCACAGGTCTATTGAGGGGTACTGCTTCAGCCTGGGCTCTGGAGTTGTTTCGTGGAGGTCCACGCGTTCCTCCTCGGTCTCGACCTCTACTGCTGAGGCCGAGATCTACGCCAGAGCCATGGGTGCAAGAAAGGCAAGGAATGGGGCAATGGGACAAGAGGGAATTGAAATAAGAGGACAAAGGGACAAGACGACAATAGAAGAAGCGAACAAGAGGATAAGAGCACAGCGAATTAGTGAGCAAGGCACAAGAGCAAGAGAAAAGACGATGCATCTCAAGCAAGGGCGAAACACTGCTGCTTACAGTTGAGTTTTTGAATAAGTCTCAATACTTGCTTCTGAACTTTCTCAACGGAGAATTCTGTGAAGGTCCCATCAGAGGTGGGCTGTGGTGCTCACAGATGGTCACTGGTGCTCACAGGTGGTCTGTGGTACTCACAGGTGGTCTGGGGTGCTCACAGGTGGTCTGTGGTGCTCACATGTGGTCTATGGTGCTCACAGGTGGTCTGTGGTACTCACAGGTGGTCTGCGGTGCTCACAGGTGGTCTCTGGTACTCACAGGTGGTCTGTGGTGCTCACAGGTGGTCTGCGGTGCTCACAGGTGGTCTGTGGTGCTCACAGGTGGGCTGCGGTGCTCACAGGTGGGCTGCGGTGCTCACAGGTGGTCTGTGGTACTCACAGGAAGGCAAGTCCGGAAAGGCGGCCCATAGCCTCTGGGATGCTGCCGGTGATGCTGTTGTTTGAAAGCTGTCTGCTCATGCACAGGGAGAGAAGGCATGGGGAGAGAACAGGTATGGGGAGAGAACAGGCATGGGGAGGGAACAGGCATGGGGAGGGAACAGGCATGGGGAAACAACAGGCATGGGGAGAGAACAGGCATGGGGAGAGAACAGGCATGGGGAGAGAACAGGCACAAGGAGTTGTTGTTTCTGTTCCGTTGTTGTTTGACAAATGTTATTCAGATGTGATGATTAAAGCGGCATTGGAGGCAAACTGTTTCTGTTCCTGTTGTTGCTCACTTGCCCGCAGTATGGCATGCTATGCTATGCTATATGCTATATGCTATATGCTATATGCTATATGCTAAATGCTAAATTCTAAATGCTAAATGCTGAATGCTATATGCTATATGCTATATGCTATATGCTATATGCTATATGCTATATGCTATGCTATGCTATGCTATGCTATGCTATGCTATGCTATGCTATGCTATGCTATGCTATGCTATGCTATGCTATGCTATGGTATGGTATGGTATGGTATGGTAGGGTATGGTATGGTATGGTATGGTATGGTATGGTATGGTATGGTATGGTATGGTATGGTATGGTATGGTATGGTATGGTAACGTATGTTAGGGTATCATGGTATGGTACGGCATGGTGTGGCATGGCATGGCATGGCACGGCATGACATGACATGGCTTGGATGACATGGCTTGGATGACATGGCTTGGATGACATGGCTATGGACAAAAAGTGTCCCTTACAGTCTGTAGAGGTTCGTGAAGCCTCCTAACGAGGATGGGAGGGATGGCATATGACAATATGGCATGGCATGGCATGGCATGGCTATACACATACTGTAGTGCCCCTTACAGTCTGTAGAGGTTAGTGAAGCCTCCTAACGAGGATGGGAGGGAGCCGCTGATCTGGTTACCAGCCATGTCACTGGGTGCCGGAAAGAGGAGGGAGGGGAAGGACACGCCGTTGACAGCTTTTGAAGCAACTTCAAAGGAGGGAGAGAGGGAAGGGAGAGGAAGGAAGTCCTTTAACGAAGATGGGCGGGAGCTGCTGATCTGGTTACCAGCCATGTCTTTGGGTGCATGCGGGGAAGGGAAGGGAGGAAAGGAAGCACACACCACCGGTGCAGTGTGGTTGAATCTGAACCAAGAGGAGTAGAGAGGCGACTGCGGAGATAACTACTACAACGGGAGCTAGACTACGGGCTAGGCATGGGTGCTCGTGTGATCTCTTCATTCTTTGGTCCTTAGTCGTTTTCCTAGTGCACACACAGCTTGCTAGTTCACAGGGAGAATTGGCAAGAGTTTCACTAAAGAAAGTTGACAACAATGGGTACATCGAAGTTGGCATGGCCAGACTACATTAGAGCTAGCACTCAGGTCGGTCGACTGCCAGCGCAACATGGTCGACCGCGTTCCAGCTCGACTTGGTCGACCGCGCTTCAGCAGTGCAAAGTCGACAGCGTGCCAACGTCGCAGGTTGACGGCGTGCCAGCGTTGCTCACGCAGAACAGCAGCGCACCCGCTTTGCAGGTGCGCGCAGATGATTGGCGGGCTGAGCCTCGTCACCTGCACAATGCACACACCACGTCATCCTCGTGCTGACGCCTCCACCTGATCCGCCATGTCGACCTCGGGATACCACCACCGAGGTTGGACTCGCCAACTTCGCCTGGGCGACCGTCGCACTCCTTCGCAGAGAACCTCGTCACCCAGGTAACCTGGTCGACCGGGCAACCACGTCGACCAGCTGCTCCCGTATGTGCCTGTCGACCTCCCAAGTCGACGACCACCCCAAGTCGACCTCACCAGGTCGACCACGCCCCGGGTCGACCAGCTCCAGGTCGACGTCACTCCTGGTCGACCAGCTCCACGTCGACCAGCGCAGTTGTTGCCGACCACCCAAGTCGGCTACCCGAAGTCGGCGTTACCAAGTTGACGCCCAGCTACTAGACGCCCAACTGCTCGGCGTCCTGAGTCGAGGTCGACGTCGGCTCCTCCTTCGTCGACCGCCAGGTAAGGTCGACCACCAGCAGGTCGATCAACCACCAGGTCGACCAGCAGTTCGTCAGCCAACCACCGAAGTTGACGTCCCCAAGTTGACGTCCTCCGCAGGTCGACCTCCCAGGTCGACCTCCCTGAAGTCGGCGCCACCCTGAAGTCGGCGCTAGTGCAGTGGTCCCCGTGCAGGTCGACCTCCTCGTCAACCTGCTTGCCCACTGCTGCAGGTCGGCTGCTCCCCTCACACCCGCCACGAATTCAGCTCCGCCCAAGCGAGGACGGGGCCAACACACTACTCCCGTTGACAGCGACAAGGAGAACAAGCAAGACGTAAGTTTTTTTGGGCGCCTCAAAAGGCATAAGATTCCCCTCTTACAAGAACCGCGAGACATGAGTCGATTGTTGAGGTGCCTCAAAAGTCAATGAGCTGGCAAGTCGGGAGTGAAGTAACTGTGAGAAACTCAAGTGTTGGTTTGATTAGAAAGATCGTGGGTACATATAAGAGATGAGAAGTGGGGGGCCTAGGTTGGGTACCTGCGACATTATTGGTGAGCCAATGGGAGTGGCCCCCAATAATGTTTTGGAGGTGGCTGCCGATTATTGGGGGGCCTGGTTCCCCCCGCCAATTGCGGCAGAGTGGGGTTGGGACGCCCCCAACCAGTTGGCCCAAAGTGTACACCCATGTTTGGGTGTTACACTTGCACATTTACAACCCAAATGATGCTATAATCTAACTATAACGGTGCCATGTTATCATGCCTAGACACTTGATAACAAGGGCCAACATGCCTACCTATACATAATCCTCACACCACGCTCACATCATCCTCACACCATCGTCGCATTATGCTTACATCAAAGTGAGGGACGAGATGTTAGCGAGGAAACCGGGAAACGAGCCGGAGAGCTGGTTGTAGGGCAAGTTTTTGGGGAGAGGCAGAGGGAGCACCGGGAAAAGAGGCAGAGAGAGCACCGGGAAAAGAGGCATAGAGAGCACCGGGAAAAGAGGCAGATAGAGCACCAGGAAAAGAGGCAGAGAGAGCACCGGGAAAAGAGGCAGAGAGAGCACCGGGAAAAGAGGCAGAGAGAGCACCGGGAAAATGGGACGAGAGGTTAGCGAGGAAGCTGGAATACGAGCCGGAGTGCTGAGTCGAGGAGAGAGAGAGCAGGAAAGCGAAAAGGCAGAGAGAGATCAGCACTGGAGTGGCGGTTCAGAAGAGAGAGTTAAAGTTGCTGAGGGTAGATAGATAGAAATACGGGGAGAAGGAGTAAGAAGTACTAAAAGGTAAGAATGAGTACGAACTATGAGTAAGCAAATACCTCGCGCTCACTACTACCACGCTTTAAGGGCACCCAATACCTTAATGCTATTATTCATATGCTGCTTTAAACACTTTCAGGTGAAGCTTACATGCTGTCGGGTGCTTGGAGCTTTGTAAGGGAGAGAGGCAGGGAGTTGTTGAGACATGTTGCCTTAATTTCTCTGGAAGGGAGGAGGTGATGATAGTAGGAGGGAGGGGGTGATGATAGTAGGAGGGAGGGGGTGATGATAGTAGGAGGGAGGAGGTGATGTTAGTAGGAGGGAGGGGGTGATGATAGTAGGAGGGAGGGGGTGATGATAGTAGGAGGGAGGGGGTGATGATAGGAGGGAGGGGGTGATGATAGTAGGAGGGAGGGGGGAAGGTGATGATAGCAGGAGGGAGGGGGGAAGGTGATGATAGTAGAGGGAGGGGGTGATGATAGCAGGAGGGAGGGGGTGATGATAGCAGGAGGGAGGGGGTGATGATAGCAGGAGGGAGGGGGTGATGATAGCAGGAGGGAGGGGGTGATGATAGCAGGAGGGAGGGGGTGATGATAGCAGGAGGGGGGAAGGTGATGAGGGAGAAGGTGGAGGGAGGGGGTTGGGGTGGGGTGGGGGCATGGGGTAGTGCGAACAGGGGAAGAGTGGAACGGAGAGTGAGAAAACGCCGCTGAGTCAGGTTTAGGGTTTGAAACAGGGAAAGTTTGCGAATGGACGCACCCGGTTGTTTGAAACAGGAAGCACTGATTGAAGGAAGGAAGGAGAAGAGGAGACCTCAAGAATCGATCTGACATGATGAAGGAGTTGGGTGGGTGGGTGTGTGTGTTGGATGCTAATTCTACCCCCTATCATAGAGAATAATGATTAAAAAAAACAGAAATGAGCAACTCTACAAAGCGTACAGGATCTTGAGGGACTTGAGGGAGCCCATTGCTGCAGGCAGGCTGCCTGCTATGGGGTTGTACGATAGTTCCCTGGTTGGGCGGTGGGCGGGAGGAGGGGGAAGTGACGAGGGAGAGTGCACTTTGAGAACCCTCAAGAAGGGACTTGAGAGAGCCCATGGCTGCCGGCAGGCTGCCTGATATGGGGTTGTACGATAGCTCCCTGGTTGGGGGGTGGGCGGGAGGAGGGGGAAGTAACGAGGGAGAGTGCATTTTGAGAAACCTCAAGAAGGGAATTGAGAGAGCCCATGGCTGCCGGCAGGCTGCCTGATATGGGGTTGTACGATAGCTCCCTGGTTGGGCGGTGGGCGAGTGGGAGGGTGGGAGGTTGGGAAGGGGAGGTTGGACAGGAGAAGGGGTGGCGCCTGGAGAGTCCATGGCTGCAGGCAGGCTGCCTGATATGGGGTTGTACGATAGTTCCCTGGTTGGGCGGTGGGAGGGAGGAGGGGAAGGGGGAGGTAAGGAGGGAGAGTGTATCTTGGGACACCTCAAACAGGGACCTTGAGGGAGCCCACTTTTGCCGGCAGGCTGCATGCTATGGGGTTGTACGATAGCTCCCTGGTTGGGCGGCGGGCGAGTGGGAGGGTGGGAGGTTGAGAAGGGGAGGTTGGACAGGAGAAGGGGTGGCGCCTGGAGAGGCTGTTGCTGTTGGCAGGCTGCCTGCTATGGGGTTGTGTGAGAGGCCCCTGGTTGGGTGGGGAAGTGAGAGTCTGTTTCCACGCCTCAGGAGCTAGCTGGCCTGGCTGGATTGGGATGGATGGTAAGGACTATGCTTTGAAAAACCTCAAGAAAAGCACACTGCTGCTTGCCGGTTGCCTCATCCAGGGTCGACCAATTGAAGCGAAGGCCTGGTTCCTGGTTGGGTGGGGAGAGGGTAGGAGGGGGGGGAGGAGGAGGGGGAGCAGGGGGAGGAGGAAGGGGATTATGACGGGGCAAGTGTGGTATTGATACCTGGCCTGCCCCTGAAACCGGTGAATAATAAACAAGGCTCGCAAAAAAGGCAGGGATATGTGTGTGAGGAATGTGAAGAATATGAAGAATGAGTGGAATGAGAGGAATGAGAGAAAGGGGTATCAAATATGAAGAAAGAGGTATGTGGCTATGCATGCATGCACAAGCACAGCACAGCACCGCACAGCACCGCACAGCAAAGCGCAGCACAGCACAGCTCAGCACAGCACAGCACCGCACAGCACAGCACAGCACAGCACAGCGCAGCGCAGCACATACAAGAAAACAAGTTTTTTCAGAGAGCCAATGACAGAAGGTATGGTGCCCGTGATGTTGTTGATTCCAAGAGACCTGCGGCATTATCACATCGCATGACAGATCACATCGCGTGCCATGCATAAGTAGGGTTTCATACCATGACACACCATACCATGCCATGCATATGATATGATCTGACCATGCACATGAAATGCAATGCTTTGCAGAAGAGAGGATGCAGAAACACTCGTTCCCAAAGTCGCCTCTTCAGATAACGGCAGGGATACTCATTCCCTCCACTCGAACCCACTCACAAAAGGCGGGAAGGGGCTTACAGATACACAAGGCTAGTCAGGCCTGAGATGGCCCGCGGGATGGACCCACTGATCTGGTTGACATTGAGAGTCCTGAAGACACATAGCGTAGGGTGGGAGGGACATAACGAAAAGCACGAGGTTGATTTGAAGAGGCTTGAGATGGCCCGAGGGATGGACCCACTGATCTGGTTGACATTGAGAGTCCTGAACACACATAGCGTAGGGTGGGAGGGACATAACGGAAACCACGAGGTTGATTTGAAGAGGCGTGAGATGGCCTGTGGGATGGACCCATGGATCAGGTTGACATTGAGAGTCCTGAACACACAGAGCGTAGGGCAGAGTACAGTGTAGGGGTGATGACATCACAGAACCAAGTTTTGAGGCTTTTGAGACGTCTCAAAAGGGGTGGTGACATCACAGAACCAAGTTTTGAGGAGCCTCAAAACTAGGCAAAGTAGAGAGGAGTGACATCACAGAACCACAAGGCTGATTCAAGAGGCCTGAGATGAAGCGAGCGAGACACAGACCCACCCACTAACCTGACTAGCATGGATGGAGTCCTGATCATACATGCAGGCAGAATGGGGGGTTTTGACTATTTTGAATTGACTATTTTGAATCGACTGATTGAACAAAGTTGGGGTGACCTTATATCCCACCCTGGAATACTGGGTTTTCAGGCTACCATGCTGTTACTGTGTGGTTACCACGTGACTTACCAAGTTCCCACTGCACACCAAAGAGCCTGCAAGCTCAGTTAACCTCTTGAGTTTGGAAATAAAAATTGACCTCTTGCGGTTACCACATGGTTACCACGTGGTTACTAGGTTGCCAACATACACCAAAGGGCAAAGAGCCTCTTGAACTTGGAGATAGAGCTTCCCCACTTGTGGTTACCACATGGTTACCACATGGTTACACCATCTGTGGTCGCCAAAAGTACGGTACGTACAGCTCTGTCAGATAGCCACTTGAACTTGGAGAGAGAGCTTGGGCTTGTGTGGTTACTTACCATGTGGTTACCCGATTGCCACCAAACACAACAAACACGCCATAAGCAACGTACAGCTCAGATAGCTTCTTGAGTTTGGAGATAGAGCTTTGCATCCTATGGTTACCATGTGGTTACCATGTGGTCACCATGTGGTCACCATGTGGTTACCATGTGGTTACCATGTGGCTTACCCGGTCCAGGTTGCCACCGCACAGCACACCAAAGAACCAGGAAGCAACGTACAGCTCAGATAGCTTCTTGAGTTTGGAGATAGAGCTTGGCAGACTCGAGGCGAACGAGTTGAACTCCAGATTGCTGTTGCAACGGGGTTGGTTGAGGAGGTGGTTTGGGAGGGTAGGGGATATGGTGAGGTGAGTGAGGTCGTTGGAAGGAGGGGAAAGTGAAGGAGGGGAAAGTGAAGGAGGGGAAACTGAAGGTGAGAAAGCGAGATGGACTTGGGGTCTCCAGGGGAACGAGTTTGCTTTCACAACTGGTTTGCTCTTTTGAAGAGCGATTTGCAGCAGAACACATTGGTAAAGTGAGGAGAGTTACACGAGCAGAGCTGAGGTGAGTCTGAGGGGTGAAGCAAGGTGAAGAAAGGTGGAGAAGGTCTCACGGGCACAAAGAGATGCAGGGGTTTTCACAGCATGAATTGAGGTGAGAGAGAGCATACATTCGCCTCAATTGAGGCATGGCTATGAGAGGGGACAGAGAACCCGAGATCTGATTGCGCGATAGATCACTGCAGGCGTGTGATGGGAAGAGATGGGGCGAGAGGCAAAGACGAGTGCTTTTGCTTATTGCTTTTTTTGTTTTGTTTTGTTTTGATTTTGTTTTTGTTTTTGTTTTTGTTTTATTTTGGAGAGCAAGGAGCTCACTCATGCTAGTTAAAAGAGAGCAATGCGCAGACACTTGATCTAAACAAACAGGAATGCTATGCATTCCTTTCTATGTTCACTAATGCGCGAGCGACTGCAATGCAACCTGATTGACATGTAACTGGCAGTCAACACAAGCCAAGCCGCTACACACAGTGTTCTGGAGCTTGGAGAGGTGGCAAGAAGGGGGGGGGAGGGAGGTGGGAGCTTGGAATTCGCAGTCAACACAAGCCAAGCGCTACACACAGTGTAACGAGCTTTTGAAGCTTAGAGAGTTTAGCCGGAACGGCTTTTGAGACGTCTCATAAACCAGGACATAGCAAGCGCTACCCACAGTCTGACGAGCTTTTGAAGCTTGGAGAGTTTAGCCGGAATAGTGGAAGTGAACTTGTTGGACCCGAGTGACCTGCGGGGAGAACGGGGGGGTGCAGGGTGGGGGGGAAGGTGGAGAAGAAGGGGGGGAGGGAGGTGGGGGAGGGGAGGTGGGGAAGTACGGGGAAAGGGAGGTGGAAACTTGGAGACCTTAGCAGGAATGGAGGAGGAGAGCTGGTTGGGCCCAAACCCCTGGGGGAGAGGTGGCGAGGAGGGGGAAAAGGGAGGTGGGAACTTGGAGATTTTAGTTGGAATGGAAGAGGAGAGCTGGTTAGAACCGAGCAATTTGGGGGCAGGGGGAGAATGGGGGGAGAGGGAGGTGGGATGGGGAAGGGAAGAAGGCAGAGTGGGGGGAACATGGTGTTGCACACGATAATGATCTGGGTGGCATGCAAGGAGTGGGCGGCGCGGCACGCAAGCGTGGGGTGGGTGGCAGGCAAGAGTCTAGCAGAGGCAAAGTCATAGGCAAACGCAGAGGCAAAGTCATAGGGTGAACTGGCTAGCAGAACAGGATGGAGAGGCGAAGAAAGGGGGGAAGGGAGGGTGATGGGTAAAAGGTGGGGGGAGGGGAGAGGGTAGGGGAGGGGCAGCACCACAGGTGCACGAGAGGGGGAGTAAGTGAGAGAGAAGATAGTACACCGTAGCGACTGTGTGGTGTGGTGTGGTGTGGTGTGGTGTGTTGTGAAGGTGTATAGAGGAACGAGTGAGGGCTTGCAGGTATGTGAGGGCAGTCGGTTTAGAGGCGCCTCGAAACCAGACTCAGCGTAACAACTTAGTGCTGCGGTGTGGAGGTATAGAGAAAAGGACAGGAGGAAAGGAAGTGAGGGAGGGTGTACAGGTGTGTGAGAGCAGTGAGTGCAGAGAGGAAGGGGGGAATGTCACCCTCCAAGTTGTTGTTAGTTAGGGCCCTGTGAGGAAACAGGGAAACGGGTGAACGGGGGAACGGGGGAACGGGTGATGGGCAAAGAAAAGGCAACTAAGCAAGAAGAGGAGAGGAAGGGGGGAATGTCACCTTCCATGTTATTGCTAAACCCTAAACCCGTGCGACCAAGGTGGGGTGGATGGAGGGCAATAGGCAAGTGAGCAACGGGAAAGTGGGCGTATGGGCCCAGGGGGATTTGAGTTTTGAGGCGCCTCATAACTCAACGCAACGGGGAAGTGGGCGTATGGGCCAAGGGGGATTTGAGTTTTGAGGCGCCTCATAACTCAACGCAACGGGGAAGTGGGCGTATGGGCAAAGGGGGACACATAAGCAAGGAGAGGAGAGCAAGAGAGGAATGGGCAATGACGGGTGGATGGGCAACACACACACACACACACACACGCACAGACACAGACACACACACACACACGCACACAGACACACGCACACACACACACGCACACACACACACGCACGCACGCACACACACACACCCAACCCCACAAATGCATGCATGCACGCATGGAATAGTGTCACCCCATACAAATGCTGCACTCTCTAAGTAGGCTGAAAGAGGGAGGGATAGAAACACAAACACATATGCATGCACAACCCCCCACCCCCACACCCGCCTACCAATCCACCAACACCACCCCCCCTCTCACTCACACACACACAAACAATGCACAACGATGCATGCACGCATGCATGGAATGGTGATAGTGCGTACAGCCGGGCGAAGGAGGATGAAAGGAGGGACATACACACATATGCACGCATGGAATGGTAATAGTGCGTGCAGATGCTGCAGCTTCTTAAGCCGGGCGAAGGAGGATGAAAGGATGGACATACAAACACATATGCACGCATGCATGCATGCATTCATGGATGGAATGGTGATAGTGCGTACAGCCGGGCGAAGGAGGATGGAAGGATGGACATACACACATATGCATGCACGAATGGAATGGTAATAGTGCGTACAGATGCCGTAGCTTCTTAAGCCGGGCGAAGGAGGAAGGAATGGCTCCGCCACTGACGGCTGTGACCATGCTACTGGGGTGTGTGATGGAGGGAGGGAGGGAGGACAGGTGTGATGGAGGGAGGGAGGGAGGGAGGACAGGTGTGATGGAGGGAGGGAGGACAGGTGACTTTTGAGGCACCTCAACAGGAGAAAGGGATGGCTCCGCCACTGACGGCTGTGACCAAGCTACTACTGGGATGTGTGAGAGAGAGGGAAGGGTGAGAGAGAGAGAGGGAAGGTGGGATGAAGGGCGGGTAGGTGGGGAGGGAAGGTGGTGTGATGGAGGGAGGGAAAGAGGGAAGAGACAGGCATGTTCCTACGTGAAGGAAATTTGACTGACAAAGAGTGAGGGAAGTGTGAAGTGAGGAAGGGAGGAAGGTTGAATGGCAAGTGAGTGAGAAAAGTGAGGGAGGGAAGAAAAGAGTGAATGACAGAAGAATCAGGGAAGTGAGAAAAATGAGCGAGGGGAGAGGGTTGACTGACAGGCGGGTGAGGGAAGTGAGAAAATCGATGAGTAAAGAAGGTTGAATGGGAGCAGGTGATGGGGCAAGGGAGGGAGGGGGGAGCAAGTGACAGAGCAAGGAAGGGAGGCGGGAGCAAGAGATGGGGCAAGGGGGGGAGCATGACTGACAGGCGGGTGAGGGAAGTGACAGAGGGAGGTAGCAACTGAGGGAGGTAAAAAGGTTCACTGACAGGCGGGTGAGGGAAGTGACAGAGGGAGGTAGCAACTGAGGGAGGTAAAAAGGTTCACTGATAGGCGGGTGAGGGAAGTGACAGAGGGAGGTAGGAACTGAGGGAGGTAAGAAGGTTCACTGACAGGCGGGTGGGGGAAGTGACAGAGGGAGGTAGGAACTGAGGGGGGTAAGAAGGTTCACTGACAGGCGGGTGGGGGAAGTGACAGAGGGAGGTAGGAACTGAGGGAGGTAAGAAGGTTCACTAACAGGCGGGTGGGGGAAGTGACAGAGGGAGGTAGGAACTGAGGGAGGTAAGAAGGTTCACTGACAGGCGGGTGAGGGAAGTGACAGAGGGAGGTAGGAACTGAGGGAGGTAAGAAGGTTCACTGACAGGCGGGTGAGAGAAGTGAGGGCGCCGAGGACCGTAGGCAGGCTAGGCATGTTATAAATCCCCTCCATGCTCCTGCCAGTAGCGGGACGGGGGAATGGAGTGGAGTGGAGTGGAGTGCAGTGGAGTGGAGAGGAATGGAGCGCTGAGGATGGCAGGCTTGGCATGTTAAAAATCCCCTCCATACTCCTGTCAGGGCGGCGGGAATGGTGGAGGTTGCAATACGTGAATGTAGCGGAGTGCAGAGGAGTGGAGAGGAGTGGAGCGCTGAGGACTGGCTGAACATATTATAAATCCCCTCCATACTCCTGGCAGTTTGGTGGGCGGGCAAGGGGAAGGGGAGAGGGGCAGCATGGGGGAAGGGGAGAGGGGCAGCATGGGGGAAGGGGAGAGGGGCAGCATGGGGGAAGGGGAAAGGGGCAGCATGGGGGAAGGGGAGAGGGGCAGCATGGGGGAATGGCTGATGAATGAAGGATGGAGTGTGAACCTTCCCAGCAACCTTCCCAGCAACCCTCCCAGCAACCCTCCCAGCAACCCTCCCAGCAACCCTCCCAGCCTGCCCTCCCAGCAACCCTCCCAGCAATACTCTCAGCAACCCTCCCAGCAACCCTCCCAGCAACCCTCCCAGCAATACTCTCAGCGACCCTCCCAGCAGTGATGGGCTCACAGTGAGCCAGCCCTCCCAGCAACCCTCTATTTTCCTCCCCTCCCAGCACTGCTCACAATGTCAGCAGGCGGGAGAGCAGAACAATGTCAGCCGGAATGTGTCATGAGACAGCTGAAACAACATCCTCCCAGCCAACTTCCCTGCAACCCCTCCCCCAACCCACAGGCCTCTCCTTCCAGCAGCGCTCACAGTGTTTCCGGGCGGGAGAGTTGAACAATTTCCGTAGGAATGTGTTGTGAGACGTCTCAGAAATGACCCTCCCAGCAAACTTCCCTGCAACCCCTCCCTCACCCTACAACCCTCTCCTTCCAGCAGTGCTCACAGTGTTTCCAGGCGGGAGAGTTGAACAATTTCCGTAGGAATGTCAGGCATTCGGGGGAGCAACCTGGAAGGGCAAGGTTGGGCAAGGTGGGGCGAGGTGGGGCGAGGTGGGACGAGGTGGGCCAGACTAAAATTTTGAGTTCGCCGCCGGATGGCGAACTCAACTTTTTATTTTCAGTCAGCCCCAGCAAACTTTGGCGAATCTCAACATTATACACAGCGTACGAATTCCAGATGCGTATAAACTCAATGTGCAATTTGGAATCTGCGTTTTTTCCAACTTAGGGGCCAGTTAGTTGGATTGGAAGGTCTTGTTAGCACAACTAGAAATTAAGGAGGGAAAAGGCGTGTTGCTTATAAGGAGGGAAAAGGCGCGTTGCTTATAAGGAAGGAAAAGGCGCGTTGCTTATAAGGAGGGAAAAGGCGCGTTGCTTATAAGGAGGGAAAAGGCGCGTTGCTTATAAGGAGGGAAAAGGCGCGTTGCTTATAAGGAGGGAGAAGGCGCGTTGCTTTGCCTATTAAAGGCCAGCTGCTTACATACAGTACGCTTTCCTCACTGAAGATCAACAACACATAACGACTCAATTCCATCTCAAATGCCTACTTTCGCCCTCACAGCCCCGCACTCGCCCTCACAACCCGCACTCGCCCTCACAACCCGCACTCGCCCTCACAACCCGCACTCGCCCTCACAACCCGCACTCGCCCTTACAGCCCGCGCTCGCCCTCACAGCCCGTAATCGCCCTCACAGCCCGCACTCGCCCTCACAGCCCGCACTCGCCCTCACAGCCCGCACTCGCCCTCACAGCCCGCACTCGCCCTCACAGCCCGCACTCGCCCTCACAGCCCGCACTCGCCCTCACAGCCCGCACTCGCCCTCACAGCCCGCACTCGCCCTCACAGCCCGCACTCGCCCTCACAGCCTGCACTCGCCCTCACAGCCCGCACTCGCCCTCACAGCCCGAACTCGCCCTCACAGCCCCGCACTCGCCCTCACAGCCCCGCACTCGCCCTCACAGCCCGCACTCGCCCTCACAACCCGCACTCGCCCTCACAACCCGCACTCGCCCTCACAACCCGCACTCGCCCTCACAGCCCGCACTCGCCCTCACAGCCCGCACTCGCCCTCACAGCCCGCACTCGCCCTCACAGCCCGCACTCGCCCTCACAGCCCGCACTCGCCCTCACAGCCCGCACTCGCCCTCACAGCCCGCACTCGCCCTCACAGCCCGCACTCACCCTCACAGCCCGCACTCGCCCTCACAACCTGCACTCGCCCTCACAGCCCGCACTCGCCCTCACAGCCCGCACTCGCCCTCACAGCCCGCACTCGCCCTCACAGCCCGCACTCGCTCTCACAACCCGCACTCGCCCTCACAACCCCGCACTCGCCCCTCACAGCCCGCACTCGCCCTCACAGCCCGCACTCGCCCTCACAGGCCGCACTCGCCCTCACAGCCTGCACTCGCCCTCACAGCCTGCACTCGCCCTCACAGCCCCGCACTCGCCCTCACAGCACTGCACTCGCCCTCACAACCCGCACTCGCCCTCACAACCCCGCACTCGCCCCTCACAGCCCACACTCGCCCTCATAGCCCCGCACTCGCCCTCACAGCCCCGCACTCGCCCTCACAGCAACGCACTCGCCCTCACAGCCCGCACTCGCCCTCACAGCCCGCACTCGCCCTCACAGCCCGCACTCGCCCTCACAGCCCCGCACTCGCCCTCACAGCCTGGTCAGACGGCACTGTGCTGCATCACATGAGATAATCCTTTAAGTTGCCTCACGAATAGGCAATGCCAAGTTGAATATTCACACTCGCACTCACACCCCTCACTCTCACAGACTCTCCCTCATCTGTCTTATCTCTGCCCCTCCTCTGTCCCTCATCTGTCCTACCTCTGCCCCTCCTCTGCCTCTCATCCGTCCCTCATCTGCCCCTCATCTGTCCCTCCTCTGTCCCTCATCTGTCCTGCCTCTGCCCCTCCTTTGCCCCTCGGTCCCATGTCCTTTCAGCTACATTGCAGGCAACAACCTGACAGGGTCTCTTCCTGCGTCCATATCACTGTTAACAAACCTCTGGGGCATGTGAGTTGGGGCATGTGAGTTGGGGCATGTGAGTTGGGGCATGTGAGCTGGGGCATGTGAGTCGAGGGGGCATGTGAGTCGGGGTATGTGAGTCGGGGTATGTGAGTCGGGGTATGTGAGTCGGGGTATGTGAGTCGGGGTATGTGAGTTGGGGCATGTGAGTCGAGGGGGCATGTGAGTCGGGGGGGCATGTGAGTTGGGGCGTGGGAGTTGGGGCTTGAGAATCAGGGTAATCCAGCATTTCTCCCTTTGAGGCATCTAAACATTCAACCTCTTCTTGCTTTTCCTGCTGCGTCCTTCTTTCAATGACCTACAGCGCAACAACCTCTCAGGACCCCTGCGTTTGACACGTCTCACTTGGAGGCATCTCAGAAACCACCCTCTTCTTGCTCTTTTCGCTGCCTCATCCTTTCAGTGACCTACGGCGCAACAACCTCTCAGGGCCTCTGCCTCCCTCTGCTTTCAACTGGTCCATGTGGACACTGTAAGGAGGGGTCAAACTAGCCTATCCTTCATTATTGTCACAATTGTCACAATTCTCATAACAAATACACAGTACTGGCACAGGGCAAGTTGAACTAACGGTTGATATTGCTACGTGATAGTAATGAGTTTTGATCCATCTCAGCAAATATTTTGTCCTGGCATGAGCCAACTATTTGAACCAATGGTTGACCCGTATAACATCTTTGAGAACCTTTGTTTCTCATATTAGGGCGGGTCCAACTCATCACAGCTCAGGTCAATATTAGCCTCTATAACCTTTTCCTGTAGGGTAACCGCGTCAAATCATGAGACACGTCGGGATGACGCGCTCGGTTTTCCGCCATGCAAAACGAGTTTCGTGCCACAACACATTTCAAACTCGAAAATTTTCCGAAAATATTGCGAACTGGGAAGCAAGAGCAAATCAAACTCTCTCACACACACATCCCAGTAACATAGTGTATTCGTGATTGCGAACTGTATTATTTTCGTCAGACGGTAACCTGTCTCGCAACAGTTCCAGTTCCTAGAGTGTCTTCCTACAAAAACCCCTGACGAAGTCTGCCGATTGCACACATGATTTTTTCCCCATCAACTTCTGTTCATACAGGATGGATGTTGTGTCTGTGTTGATGGTTCACCAGTTCGTTTGGGCAAGTGCTGTGCCCGCCTGGGGTCACCATGACACTGCACGTGTTTAGGTTTGAATTGGGTGTTTGTCATCCGGAGAGTCAACATTTTGTTACAGGGGTGTTATTCCCCGAAACGAAACGAGTTGGACCCGCCCTTACCCGGCTTCTTGTCAAACATATATGCTATGGTCTATCTAGGCTGTAGTGGGGTAGACACTATAGGGTACAACATTTCTAGGTTTCCTACTTGTACCCACATTCTGCCTAGTCAACTCATTCCTCATTCTTCACGTGGTATAGAGCATGTTCCCTTGTGGGAACGCTTCTCGGGGCCCACCAACTAACTCGATCTTTTTTTTTTCCTGC